ACCCTCACACCCGCTGCCCCCGCCACCCCCGCCTCCTCCGCCGCCACCAACACCCCGCCCACCGCGATCACCGCCGGCGGGAACGACAGCGCAATGTCCGACAGCAGCGCCCGCCGGCACACCGTGTACCGCGCCCGCCCCAGCACATCCGCCAGCCCGTCCCCGCCCACCCCCTTCTGCCGCAGCACCTCGCCCAGCATCCCCAGCGACCGGAACGGGTGGTAGCAGATCAGGTGGAACTTGAGCTGCTGCAGGAACGCCAGCTCCACGTTGAGCACCGTCGACGCCCGCACACGCTCGCAGCACCGGTCGCACGACTCCGGCGCCGCCGCCAAGTCCACCCCCGCCTCCACCCCGTGCATCACCGCGTCCCAACGCCCCACCAGCTCGTCCGCCGACAGCACCGTCTCCTCCACCTTGAGCGCCGCGTACACCGCCGACAGCGCGATCGCCGTCGGGTTGAAGTCCATCACCGACTGGTCCACGAAGAACCGCTTGAAGAACGTGATCCCTGTCGCCGCCACCTTGTCCCCCAGTTGCATCGTCTGCACGAACCGCAGGATCCGCCGCTCGTGGAACGCCCGCAGACGCGCCTCGTCGCCCGCCGTCAGCACTCCGCCCGCGTCCCCTTCGCGCGCCGCCACGGCCGCTCCGTGCGCCCGCGCGCGCCGCGAGGCGATCGTCTCGCCCGTCAATTGCCAGTGCCTCATTTGCATCGAGTCTTTGAACTCAGCCATGGCTAGTCACGGCGGCTCGCGAGGCACCAGACCCGGCTCATACGATCGCAAGCGCCACGCCGAATCGTCTTTCCGCGGAGAGCCGGGGAAGGGGGATGCTGCGGGATAGGGCGTTGCCGACGGCGGGAGGCGCTGTGGGAATGTCCGTGTATTGCATCAGTCCCAGAGCGCGTGGGTGTGCCGGCGCTTTTCACGCTCTTTGCGAAGCTGGAAAAGTTTTGCGGTCGCAGCGAAAGGTCGAGCAAATTCGGAACAAAAAAAGAAGAAAAAAATATTTACACGGAATTTCGCGCTGCCACGGATCGAAAAAAAAGAAACCCTCAACCAAAAAGCTACTCACTCTACCTCCGCCGCCTCCGGTAGCGTCGAGAGCAGCGTGGTCGGCTGCACGGCGTCGTCGTCCACCATGCCCATGGCGACGACGGTGATGTCGTCGGCCTTCCCGCCGCGCCACTCGACGCCGGCCTTCTCGGCCGCCGCCATGAACGGAGAGCGGAACGTCTTGTCGACCGAGCGCGCGCTCGCCAGAGACCCCAGCCTGTCCGCCAGCGACGCCGCATCCTCGGCCGCCGACGCCGCGCTCACGATCTCGGCGTCCGCGACGTTGTCGTACAGCCCGTCCGTCGCAAGCACTACCCAATCGCCCGGCCGCAGCTTCTGCTGCACGTTTTGCCCCATCGCCAACCTAGCGCGCGATACATTGGACACACAATGCAAGGTCAGTTTTGTGAGCAGCCGCGCAGAAAATCATCTCGCCGCTTTCTGCAAAACGCTGCTACTTACCCGTCCTCACTGTCCGTGCCCAGTTGATAAGGGCAGTTGAAAAAATGCTGCTGCTCCTTGGTCCGGAACACCATCTTGCCGTTTCTGATAATCCGAACGCCCGAATCGCCCAGGTTTATGCCAAACAACCTTCCAAACTCATCCATCCCCACGACGCACGCCGTGCTAGCACCTACCTGGTTATTCTCCAAGCTGGCATCAATCGCTGCTCGAACGACTTTCTCCGGCCCAAACTCCCTGACCTTATCCCTGGTAAGCGCAGCGAGTGTTTGACTGTACAAGCGAGGGTCGACCCCGCGCGTTTCGAAAGCGCCAGAGACTCCGTCGAAGACGCCCGCGCAATTGCCCTCGACGAAGAATGCATCCTCACCCGTGTTCTTTTCGGGGTGCGCGAGGTACGAGTAGCCGACCGTGAAGGTGTAGGCCGGCTTGGGCTCGTCAGGGTCTTTGGACCACGGGTTCTTGAACTTGGGGAAGGAGATCATTTGGGGGCAGCGTGAGCGCGGCCTGGGCGTGCGCGCGGGGAGCGGGGTGCGCGCGGGAAGCGGGGTGCGCGCGGGAAGCGGGGTGCGCGCGGGAAGCGGGGTGCGGGAGGGAAGCACGGAGACGCTGTGCAAAGGCACCACGACGCTGGGGGCAAAAGCGGCGTGAGACATTTTGGGGAGTGGGATGGCGGGTGGCGGGGATGGCGGGGATGGCGGGGATTGCGGGGATAGCGAGGATAGCGGGGATAGCATAGGAGGAGAAGGTGGGAGGGGGGCAATAGGCGGAGGGATCTGAGGAGGGCTTCTCACGCGTACCAAGAGTGCGAACGATCTGTGGTGCGGAGAGGAGGTGAGTTTTTATTGTATTTATTTCCACAAATGAACGGCTGTGCGAATTTTGCATGGAAATGGGATGATACGCGTTGGAGGGATTTAGCTCTCATTAGCATGTTAGGCATTGGACAAGGACAAGCATAACACGCCAGAGCGATGAAGACGTCCGTTCTTTCTGTCGCATCAATGGGATGCTCCTGAAATCACAAACACCCAATTTGATACGACCCTTTTTGCACAAATTGCTGTTTTGTGCGCATCACCTTCTGCTGATGTGAACCCCCTTGGAAGACGATTTGTGTCCACAGCCAAAAGCACAAACACATATTTCACCCGCCGATTTCCCGCCGTTGAGGTAGCTCGATCCCTAGCGAAGCTTCTTCGTGGCATGACAGAATCCCTTTACCCTTCATCCCCATCTCCGTCACACAATCCCTCTACCTCGATCCCTTTCTCCCACCATGACACAATCCCCCTCCGCTTCACCCCCATCTCCATCACCCAACCCCTCTACCCCTAACCCAAACCTTCGTGTTGAACCGCTTCCACTTTCTCGTTGCCCCTCTGTCTTCGATTCAAATCCTCCAGGCGACCCTACCGAAACCGCACAAACGCAGACCCCCCGAAAATCTGCTCGCGTGACCCACGGCTACGGTGGCTCCTACCCTTATTCTGGATCACAGCCGGGACCCACTGTCGGGATCCAAAGACCTCCCAACCGAAAATCTTCCAGCAAACCAACGCCTGTTCGTGGCTCTGGATTCTCGGCTCCCGAAATCGAGCACTTGCTTGACACGCTCGAAAAGTACTTACCCCTGTGCCGCGATGAGTGGGACGCTGTTCTCATCGCGCACAACAAATACTTTGCAGATCAAAAGCGCTCAGTGGACAGTCTCAAACGCAAATTCGCCTCGCTACATCGGCAAAAAATGCCAACCGGTGACCCGCTCATGCCTGCTGATGTTCGGAAAGCGAAAAGTATTCGATATAGAATGACGGAGCATGCCGATATTGGAGTCGGTGACGAGGACGTGGACGAGCTGTCGGGAATCGTAGAGGATGATGAGGATGGTACGACACCTGTTGGGGCGGCAAGTTTGTCGCCGCGAACATCGGAAATTCCAAGTGACGGCGCTCAAGGGCCAGGGTCGGGTGCCCAGATTTTGCCGCCGAGCCCTACTGAGTTTGCTCCCTCTCCGCGCTTGCTCGTTAACAAAAGGAGGAGAGTCAAAGTTCAATCGACTGAGGCAAATGAACTTGTCGCGATAATGAAGCTTTCTATTGTACAAGAGCAGCAGCGTCGGGAGAGCGATGCCCGACAAAGGGAAATGGAGGAGCGTCGCCGGGCGGACGAGAGGGATGAGGAGAGGAAGAGAAGGGAGGAGGACCGTCTTGAAGAAGTGCTTCGCCGGGAGCATGAAAACAAACGCCAGGATCGCTTTGTGGAGGCAGTTCTGTTAATGATGACGCACACGGTATCTCAAAAAAATCCACCGCAACGCCCTGACGATGCGTGACTCTAGATTCCAACGTTCTCATGAAGAAAAAAGTTAGCATCAACGCTTAGGTGCGGCATGTAAACATTGAGAATTTGGTTGATTCCTACCACTGCAGCTCGATAGTTATACAGTAGAACGATTGTCAACAAGATCAGTTTTCTTTCGCCAGTTTCTTCGTAAACCATCCTATCCAAAAGCCTCGGAAACGTCCCTTGAAAACCGCGCATTCCCCACTCTGATGCTTGTGGCAACGAGGTAGCCTGCCGAAGCCTCATAATTTCAGTAGCGTTTTGTCCTACTCCAAGATGATCTTGCGCAGACTTTATGACAAAGGGATGAAACTTTCTGCAAAATGCAGAATCGACCACACACTTGCCCTCCGTTTCCTCGTACACTTTTCCTAGTTTTTCGTAAATACCACCCCACTCCGCTATTGTGGAATCATGAAACGCGCCCGGAGCATTTACAGCACACATTATTATCCGTCCATTTGGGGCAAAGACAAAAACATTCCCGACATAATGGTCATGTGTCCAACCATTGTAAAACATATTTTGTATTACACAGTCACCTGCCTGTTGTAGATATAGTTTTAACCCATCCGCACAGCAATAAACATCCGGAAGCAATGAATGCTTCTCCCGAAAGCTTTGTTTAAACAAACTGATCTCCTCAGCTGACGGTATTTTGATGGAGGCACGATCATCATTTCGCAAAACTTTAAAAAGCAAACGGCGGGCGAAGCAAATGTACAGCGAAGCAACTGAATGCGTAACCCCAAAAAGGAGACACAAAGTCATTATCGATCCCCGTGTGCGATGCCATGTGAGAAAGAGTCCCAGGCACTGAGTAGAGGAAAGTAAACGCGGTCTTCCTCTCGCGACGCGCCTATTTGGGAGGAGTCGAAGCCTTCCATCGCTCGAGTACGGTGTGTATCTCAAGTACATCGGGGCAAATGCGTTTAGCATTGTTGTAAATGCTCGGTGATCGAACGCTGTGAGCGTGATTAAAGATTGATCGCATCCACTGCCGTACAAAAAAGCGAAAGGAGCCATCGTAGGACTGAAAAGCGCTCTTCGAGATATGCGTCTATCACGACGACGTTTACCTTTCGCATTTAGACGGGCTCTGAAGGTACGAGGCTGTCCATCGAGAATGAGATGATACAGAATAATGATTTGCAGCATAAGCGAAGGCATACTGTGGCTAGGGTACGCGATGAGGACGAAAAGGGGAAACGTTGCGATTTGACGAGGGTGGTTCTGGGAATTCGCGGTCGTCCTACACTAAGGAGTTAGATTCGGGCTCATGGGACTGCCAATGGAGTACCCTACGGGTACACAACGGGATAGTGTAGAAAGTGCGGTGAGCTTTGACACAAAACTTTTCAGGACGCTAGTACAGTACACAATCACCTTTTTGCACAATTTTTGTGTAAAAGGGTGCATACGCATTTTATGATTTCAGGAGCAGCCCAATATCAATATCAATAATATGACCTCACGCACTACTGCACACTATGCGCATGCTGTTAGACTTATTGACTAGACTACAGTAGATATCACACTTCTATGTTATCAATATCAATTCAGGGATTATGTAGGCTACATTTAGCTATCAATGATAAAGTCCCTTAAGGACGTGCCACCTACAATTCTACATGTTTTAGGGTGTAACCGTTTAGGCATATTTCGTGGGTGGCGCAACCTCCCTTTTATGGTAGTGCGCCTACTTTTGTTGTAGAGTCAATAGGACTATAAAGCCAGGTCGAAGACGCTACTCGTCTTCGACCTCAGCACATTCAATCACCTGAACCATCAACCCGACAACCCCGTCCATTGACCGTGCTCACCGTCCGTAGCGGTTCTGAGGCAATAGCCTGCCGCTCTTCCCCTCCCTTTAAAGTAACCCTATTTACCATCCTTTTACCCTTTACTAAAATCCCTCCGGACCGCCCCCTTTTCCGTCGGTCTCCCGACACTTATAAGTTTACGGGACCGCCGCCCCGTTTGGTCCTGCCCCGTCCTTGGAATAAGGCCCGCCTTAACCAACCGTCGAATCAACTCGTTTGCGCCTCCGGAATAAGGCCGCCTTATTCAATCAGCCGAATTGGAAATCAAGAAATTTTTTACAAGAAACAATTTTGTCCCTAACGTTCACTGTAATAATTACTGTCTAATTTTACAGCGGACGTTATACATTTGGGCGTACTGTACGACATACTGTACGCCTGGCGCATTAGCGCAGTTGTTAATGGCACGGGTAAAGCGCCCTACCAACCACCCCGACGTAATTCGGGAACGCCGCATCGCCGCCGCCGCCGCCCTCGTTACCGCCGCCGCATCGCCACCCCCGTATCACGGTACTCCGTCTACGCGTTCAAGCTCGCCGCTCCGTGTCCGTCCGTCCGCATCCGCTTCCCCGCCGCCAATTGCCTACATCTCCCAAACGCCCCCCCGCGGCCATACCACTCCACCTGTATCGCCGGTCCAGCTTGACGGCTGCGCCTCGCATTCTACGCTGTTTACGGCCCCCCGCCTCGTCGATATAGAGGCAGTAGAAGCTTCGGACGAGGAAACTTCTACCGCCGCTGCGCCGTCTCTCGACCTCGACGAGGGCCGCGCACTTACCATCTACCGCGTAGCTACTCAGCGCGCACGACGTAGAGCAAATCCCCCACGCCGCCGTCCTACGCAATACCTCTGCCGCCCTTGCGCTCGCACCTTTACGAGTTATCGTCAGCGCCAAGTCCACGAAGCTGGTCAACCACATTAGCGGGTAGATTCTGCAGCATATACCCACGCGAAAAATTACACTGCAAGGTTTGTGTCAAGCGCTTTGCTAACGCACACGACGCAGACCAGCATTACGCCGGCACTATCCATCACCGCGCCCTCCGCAAGCTGCGCACTATCCAGAAGTAATTGGAAATTGTTTGGCCAAACTGTAATTGTTAAAATTTTCTAAAGTTTTTAGAATATTTGAAAGGGACACTTGTCACTGAAGAATTTTTTTTCGGCGCCACCACGCACACACGTGTGCTTACCCGCCACGCACACACGTGTTGTCATTGTGCACGCAACGACGTGTAACTGCGCGCACACGCAACCACGTGTTACTACACGCACACCCGCCCACGTGTTCATATCGACTACTCATACACGCGTACTACTATTGAACACGTACACACGTGTCTGCAATACCACTAAGGGTACAAAACACCACACGTTTACGCGTAGTACACTCACCACGTACCACAGGAACATTTTTTGACGATAACGTTCTCGTTTAGCCCGGATCCATTTTATCTATTATTTTGCAATAATTTTTAATATGGCTACTGTAAATGGAATCCGAGATGCTTTAACAAGTTATGAACCCCGATCTATGATCCAATGCGATGTTCAGGCTACATCAGCCCTGCATGTAATGGCGGACCCCCAACCTGACCCCAATGTTTGTTGTAGTAACCTTCGTGCTGACCTTCCCCCCGAAGTTCTATACGCAAGAGAAATGTTACGAGGCTCTACTGTTTTATATCGACTTATCCGTGATTACCTTGTGGTCAAAGGATTGTCATACACCCCGCACCCTACCACCAACCGTATTTCTCACGGTCTGATAAACATGCTATATGTCGATGACACTGACCGTATTCTCGCCAACCAAGGTCTCACCAGTTCCGCCTCCGGGTCGACACAAGGAAGCCATCAATCGTTTCTGCCGACAGTTGAAGCCCCGAACTCCAAGATTGCTCACAATATTTTGTCAAGATTCAAAAAGGAGGACCGGTACACTGGAAAATCGGAGAAGATATTCATGACGCA